CCTGCAAACTGATGGACAATTCGAAAGAATGATTCAGATGTTAGAAGACATGTTGCGAGTGTGCATATTAGACCTTAAAGGAAATTGGGATGAGCATCTGTCGTGAGTGGAATTCGCCTATAATAACAGTTACCAAGTGAGAATCGGGACGACACCCTATGAAAATACTGTATATGAGGAAATGTCGATCGCTCGTATGTTAACGAAGGTTGGAGACATAAAGTTATTGGGCCCCTAAATTGTGCAGATGACAAGTGTGATAACCTGTTCCGTTTTGTGCTAATTGGTCCTCAATATGAATATGATTATGTGTTTAATGTGATTTTGTATGCCATCATGTGAAAATATGTGGCTTTGAATTTCTATCTGTTTACCGTAGGAATATCTGCTTGACTATCTGCTTTGGAAATTAGATTGAAGGCCCTATCGGCCACAGAAACTGAAATCGATTGCGCCTTTGTGATTAGCGTAATTTTTAGAGCCCACGGTGAAATTTAATTGAAAATTGATTTGGGTCAAATTAATCAGATTAAATTAATGACTTAATGCTCATTATTTTTATATAAAAAAACAATGTATGTGAGTAGGGCTATATTAAAGGCCTTATTATGTTCAATTCCTTTCTTTATATAATTTTGGCTGATTAAACTCTCTAGAGAGTGAGAGAGACCCGAAATTGAGAAAGAAGAGGGGGAAATCATCTAAGTTTGCTCTTGAAGCTTGGGAGTCTTGAGGGCTAGCTCAAGAATTAACCATAGTTGTGAAGATTAAGGCTCCTTGGTGAGTAATTCATGAGTTTAATGTTGTAAATTATGTATTAAAGCTAGTTGGGTAATCAAGAGTGAGGATTGAAATGGATTTGAGTTGGTTTTGTTGGATTAAAGGTCAATTTGTGCATGCATGTATGTAATTACTTTGAAATTGCATATTTGAGCACCAAATGCATGATCCATGTAAGTTTTTAATTGAAGCTCATGTTCTTGACCATCCCTCCATCATATAAGTTGAGAATGAGAGTAATAAGTCACATGCATGTGACATTCATAAGGGTGTAAGTGTTGAATGCATGAAATTGTTATGTTGATAAAGGAATTGGTGGAAAATGAGCCATGCATGTGTTTGATTTATGAAATTGAGCTTCAAAATGTTGTAATTTGATGTTTGTAGCATGTTAGCACAAGTATATTTGAATTATATGCATGAAATGTTGATTGGGATGTTGAAATTGAACTCAAGAACGCTGCTGGAAAAACCCAAAAAATTGATGTCCGCTCGAGCGAGGGAATCACCGCTCAAGCGTGAAATTCGTGCTCCCAGCATATTTTTGCAGACATGGTTCCCGCTCTAGCGGGGAAGTTGACGCTCGAGCGGGGAGCTATGTAGATAGACTTTCCGCTCGAGCGTGAATTTGATGCAACCAGTACTTTTGCAGGCCTATTGGGCCCGCTTGAGCGGAGAAGTCCACGCTCGAGTGGGGACCCTGTTTCTAAAAATTTTGTGTGATCGTTCTGTGTTTCATTTTCCGTTCTCTTTCACTTGCAAGCACTCTTAGGCATGCATTAAGCATTGTAATTGGATTAAAGAGATAAGAATGAAGCCTAAAGAGGAATATGTGAATTTAGAACGGATCGAATTGTTTGTGACCCTTTTGTGTTCATGGAATGTGTAGGATCGAGCTCCAGGGAAAACCAACCAACCAATCACTGTGAGTAATGTCTTAACAAGATATTTGAGATATGTTATTGTCCAATTGTTTACTTCTATGAAAGTCTTGTAAGTTCATTAATTTGTATGGTGGACAATGATTGATATAGATAATTGGGCCGAAGGCCGATTGATATGAATGATTGGGCCGATGGCCGATTGATATAGATAATTGGGCTGAAGGCCGATTGATATGAACGATTGGGCCGAAGGCCGATCGATATAGATAATTGGGCCGAAGGCCGATTGATATGAACGATTGGGCCGAAGGCCAATTGATATAAATGATTGGGCCGAAGGCCGATTGACATGAATGATTGGGCCGAAGGCCGATTGACATGAATGATTGGGCCAAAGGCCGATTGATACAAGTGATTGGGCCAAAGGCCGTCTGCTGTAACTATTTCAAAGATTGCTTACGTATCTTCCTTATTCGATATTATTCACTGGGCTTTCGCTCACACTCATTCATGTACATGTAGGTGAGCCAAGGGACGTCCAGAACCAGCCTCGGTGAAATTATGAGAAACAGTCCAAGTTTTGAGGAGTCAGCCCAAACGTCTCAAGCACGAGACTGTCTTCGCCTTTGTCCTTTGTTCATAGTTTTGTTATGTCGGCGAAAGCATTGGACTACTTTTGTATATAAGTCTTGGGTTCAACTGACTTAAACTTGTATGATCCTGTATGTACATTGTTCTGTGTTAGTACATATTTTGATGTGAGTTACTAACATATAAATGTTTGAAATGTTATGGTGTGCATATAAGCGCAGCTCTATGGACAAAGTTTTAAATTGCTTCCGTTTGGCCCCTTTACTCTAATGAGTTTTGTTTTAGTGGTTTGAGGCCGTAGGTAATCTCATGATTACTGGCCGGTTATGGCCTTAACCCATAGGGGCGGGTTCGGGTCGTGACAACAAGTAACAAAATCCAACTCATCTAACAGCAAATCCACACTACCCAAAGCCATTAGAAAAGCTATGCAGATTCTTGGAGATGAGATTTGGAATTTAAGGTAGGAGATCATTTTTTCTTGAAAGTTTCAATAACAAGATGAGTCATTCGGTTTGGGAAGCGAGAAAAATTAAACCCACGTTATGTCGAACCATTTGAGATACTAGAAAGAATGGACCCTGTGGCATATTGTCTTGCACTACCACCAGAATTGTCTAATGTTCACAATGTGTTCCATGTTTCAATGCTTCAACGATATCTTTGAGATTCAGAACATGTCATTGAGAATGAGAACCTAGAAATTTAAAGAGATCTCTCGTATGAAGAGCAATTGGTATAGATCCTCGACCGTCGTAATTAGATTCTCCGAAACAAGACTATACCTCTTGTAAAAGTATTATGGCAAAATTATCATGTCAAAGAAGCTATGTAGCAAAACTGAGAATCAAATGCGAGCGCGATATCCACATCTTTTCAAAAACCAAGGTACGACAAGTTTGGGGATAAACTTCTATTTAGGAGATGTGAAATGTGACACCCCAAATGTTTAATTAATTTTAACACCATGTTAGTATCAACTAATTATGATTAAAAAAATAATATTTAATTTTATAGTTATATGTGCTAAAATGTAATTTAATTTAAAATTAGGGGTCATTGTGTTTTACCAAAAGATGATAATGTAATTATTATATTACATGGGCCAAAGTGTAATTAGTTAACAAAGAAACATTAAGATAAGGCACCTATTTTGGATTTCGATAAGTAAAGCTAATGGCAACCCGTTTTGGATTTGGTGAGACCATGGATTTGGATAAGCAACGTGGTCATTGATTGAGGCCAAGTTGCTGCTAAATACTCCTATATATAGGAGTGGTTGGTTTGAGCAAACAACAAGAAGAAAGGAGCGCAGTGGAGCAAGCGAAAGGGACAGAAATTAGGAATCGATATTAAGGTGAGTTTTATTATACTTTAAGTTACCATAAATTATTTTATGTAAATTATGTTTCGTAAATTATATTAGCTTTATAAATTATATTATTTGTTTAATGAACCTTATTTGCTTAAAAAGGAAATCCCATAGATATAACTGTTTATTAAATATTTTTTTGTTGACAACTTGATAATTGATAGCGTGAGCAATTATTTCATGAGTACCACCACGGAGGTCCCATGCCTTGGTGGACTTAAAGAACCATTGCCTTCTAATTAGTCACTTTAGTACCCTTTATTTGTCATGGATCCATTGACTTTTTGTTCTGTTTTATACCGTGGTTATGATTATTTTGCTTATTTGATTTCTGCATTATATGTCTATTTTTTAAATTGTTTATTTATTCGAACCAAACTATTCACTATTTAGTCTAAAAAACTACCATGGTGACTTTTATACCCTTATGCTCTCTATATAAAATTTCTCACTCTGCCATATGCTTATAACTATTAAACGCTTTCAGATAATGAGGCTTAGGAAAGGATTTTAACCCCTTGCTCATAAGTTATAAGTAGTAGGGCCAGGGCGTAAAGTAGGCACAGGGCACTTTTGTAAACATAGTCTAGCTTTGGCAATGTAAATAAATAAAAGCTCCAATGTATGTTTTTAATAAAATAATTATTTAGGTATCCTTTTAATTTACTCCACTATGTTAGTAAATTTTAAATTGACCTTTGATGACCACGATTATTAACTAGTCACGACATCTAACCTCTAGGTACTGGGTTAGGGTTGTGACAAAAACCAGAACCCCCAAAACCCTAAAACCAAATGCTATAATCGGCAGGGATGCTGCTAACCCCTTTCTTGGAGCAACGAACAAACCTACAACAGTTTTTTAAAAAACCTATCCGAGGGATAGTACATCGGCAGAGATGCTATCGACCTCTTACTTGGAGCAAGGAACGAACCTGCAAGGGTTTTCTAAAAAAACCTATTCGAGGGATAGTACATCAGCAAGGATGTTGCTAACCTCTTGCTTGGAGCAAGGAACAAAGCTACGACAGTTTTCTAAAAAACCTATCCGATGGATAGTATATCTGCAAGGATGTTGCCAACGTCTTGCTTGAAGCAAGGAACAAACCAACGATGGTTCTCTAAAACACCTATCCGAGGGATGACAGGGATGTTGCCAACCTCTTGCTTGGAGCAAGAAACAAGCATATGAGGCCTTCCTAAAACATAAACCCTAAACAAAGGTTTCTTTAGTATACTTCGGCAGTCGTGTTGTCACTTTAATAACAATATTCAAAAGAAACAACCAAATCTCCATTCAAACACACAATCAAAAAATGCACTACCAAAAGATCGACTTTTAATCCTGTCACAACCCAAACCCGCCCCTAAAAGTTTAGGTCATGACGGGCCTGTACTTAGGCCTCAGAGACAAAATTTCAAAATATTCAAATCATATCGAGACCTAAAGTGGAAGCAAAACAAAAATAATAAATGTCCATTGAGCTATGCATACATGATGACCTAAAAGAATTAAATTATTTAACTACACTTTCCATATTTACATATACAATAACAGAGCTTATAAAGATCTCACACACTATATGAAAGACTTCAAACAAAACTAGGCTTGACGAAATAACACCACGCCTCAACATAGAGGCACTTCCTAGGAGGCTTGACAGAGAGGCAGACTTCAGTACAAACTCTAATGTTGTTCCTTCGATGGCTCACCTACATATATACATAAAGTAAAAGGGTGAGCTAACGCCCAGTGAGTAATAATAAAGTAAAGAGGTTAATGAATAATGTCCTTAACATGAGGAAAACATATTTCACCAGTCTGAAATGTATCTTAAACCACGTTAAAACAAACAGTTATCATATCAAAATCCATGCTTTTTCAAATGGAATACATATCTGAAACCATTACAAAACATTTTACATGGTACGTGGTACATCCACTTATATAAAGGGTCAAAATCACATTTCAAAATAGGACATCCATTCATTCATATAAAATAACATTTCGTAACATGAGTCGTATAGCGATGTAAAAACATTTGTATTCATATCACATTTTATGAACGACCTCGGGTCCACGTATGACAAAACGGCCTCGGGCCCAATCATATATCAAAATGGCCTTGAGCCCAATCATGTATCAAAACAGCCTCGAGCCCAATTCATGTATCAAAACAGCCTCGAGCCCAATTCATGTATCAAAATGGCCTTGGGCCCAATTTATGTATGTATGGACCCAAGAGGTGACTCGTACGGATTCTAGAGATGACTCCCACTGTAGCACATAGTTTTGTACAACACTTTGCTCCATACCATAAATCAATAAGTCATAAAGACCGAACAATTAATATCATGTCATAGCATAACGGAACGGATAAACGGAATGGCCTTGGGCCCACCATATCATATAACAAACAATTCACATTTCTTGTTCATAACTCATTTCACATTTCTTGGAAACTTGTGCATTTTGACAAAATAGGATATTTAGAGAATCATATCGTACATAAATCAAAATAGATAATGAAAAACATATCGTTACAATACTATTACTCACAGTGATAGGCTTCTGGTAACAGTTGGGTGATGTTCTCATCTTAACCTACAAACACAATTACATAACACAACATATCGAAATATATAATTACTCTCATAATCAAATTTACTTATCTTAATCTTTACTTAATCAAATAAACCGATCCCTTACTTTGCTCCGTAACTTATTATTTATGTTGGTTCTAAACTCGTTAGTCCTCAATGGGTTATAATTCAAATCTAGAAAAATAGGAGGAAACAAAAGAAAACTGGGTTAAGAGAAGAAATAGCATGAAACGGTTAGAAAGAAAGTGAACAACCTTCACTAATTTGAACATATCTATTTGCGTACAAAGCATTTAGGTGTGAGACCACCACCATTAGAAACTAGACTTTCGGGGCTTGAATTTAGGCTCAAAAATCACTTAAAAGGGAGTCCGGATAAAGGAAATATGCCTATTTAAAGTTAACTGAAATAGGGCAATCAGCACATGCGGAAATCCAAACCGCACGTGCGGTTCTGGGCTTCCAGCAACAAGTCCAAAATTTCAGTACGTTCTAAAATGGTTTCCTTGCATGTTCTTGGGCTAAGGCTCATTGAAACTCAACATAAACTTCATAAATTCATTGATAAACATGGGAATAAGATTTTTTTCCAAATCAAAAGCATCAAGACTTTTTAACTCAAGAATCAAGAACCTTTAACAAAAATTGATAAACTCTATTTTTGTTACAAAACCTAACTTTTCTTCCAAATTCATATGGATCTTCATTTCATATGTAATTTTATGAGTTCAAACCATACAAAACCTCAAGATTAAGGCTCAACTTCTCACAATCAACTTCTCAAACCATACAAAACCTCAAGATTAAGGCTCAACTTCTCACAATCAACTTCAAGATAAGCAAATATAAGGAAATTAACTCTCAAATCTAACAAAGGCAAGGAATCCATGTTTAATTTCAAGAGTATAATTTGCTCAAGCTTATGAGTTACAAACCCTAACTCGTTTGAGTGTGATATTTCTAATTTAAGTCTTGATATTACACAATTGAAGAGGTATTCCAAGAGTTTTAGTTGATTTACACATACCTTGAATTAAATCCTTGAATTTCTTTACAATTCTTCAAATCTCCAAGCTTTAGATGCACTTTCTCTTTTCTCCCCTTGGTTCCTTCTCTTGATGTCTCCAGAACTCTCTCAATCTCTCTCTCTCTCTCAGATTTTTTTCTTTCCTTTCTTTTGTTGAGTTTATCTCAATTAAGATCCATATACCTATATATAAATGTAAGACATAATATTTAATAAAATTAATTTAATTCATTCTGAATTAGATTCTTACAAAAATTCACACTAGACTCTAAAAATCATGTTGATCATAACTATATGGTTGGTTTCAATTTATCGTGCCTCTAAGGTTTTCAATTTTCAGTCCAAAGGTCACAATTTCAACAGATTTTCTTATAACCGACAGATACAACTTCAAATCCTTATAATTCACATCCTTGGACATGCAATTCCACAACCACATAATTACACTAATCATGACTAATCACAAGTCCCACATAATTTAATTAATCTAATTTGACTTTCATTAAAGCCCAATTAATTATATTTAAATTATCAATCTAAATCAGAATTTTTAATCAAACTCCCAAAAGGCTCCAAAGATCAAATTAAACTTATTTCCATCATCAATTGTGATTTCTCACATCAGTACGACCCTCAATTTCAAGTCAAACTCAAGGTCTCCATCAACAAATTACATACTCAAATTGAATACCTCATAAATAAATTGAATTTGCAATGATCTTAAGTCCCACTCCTCATAACGTAATTAACTCCAATTCAAACCCAATTAACCAAATTTCAATTTCACAAATCTGAATCGAATATTTAATTAAACTCCCATATGGTCCGATACTCGAAATTAAAATAATTCGACTCACTACTTATCCTTTCTTGAGTCAATCAGGCTTTCAATTTCTAATTCCAAATAAATCTTCAATAGAATCGTATACGACTCAGTTTCCATAATTTTCATAATGCCCAAATTAAATCAAAATAGTATGTAATTAAATTTAAATCTCTGTCATTGATTAAATATAAAATATTACACGATGGGGTTATTACATTCTTCCGCCAAACTTGAGCCACTTGTATTGCAAATAATTCACCAACTTTGTCTCATCCCATTTCTATTCTCAAGTAACTTCCTTACCATTCTATTTTCCCATCACAGGGGTTTAACTCATTATCATTTATTACAAGTTATTTAACCAAATTGGTTTAGTCACCAAAAATTATTCTGTAATGTGTAATGTAATGACAGGTCTCAACGTCGATTTCCTAGCATCAAAACACAAAATACATCGTCCACAACACTCATATATTCTTGTTTCACCATCCACACATGTCTCCAAATAATTCACATGTTCCCCAAATAATCAAAGCTCAATCTCAAATGATATTTATGATTACACTCCCTTGTTTCCAATGAATCAAAATATTTTGTTATTGACATCCATGAGTCTTCAACATAGGCTAAGTATCTAATATGACCTTAATATCGAAATCAAATCTTGGTTCACAATTTGCTCGCTACTAGCTTAAACACTTGACATAACGGTCTTAATACATCGAAGTGTCCCTATTCTAATTATCTTAGCATTTCAGATCAAGTTTCAATTATCCACACAAAAGAATTCTAACTCTCCAATAATTGTTCGAGCATACATAGGAACACTAACTCCAACTTAACACTTCTTGCATTCATTAACTATATGTTTATTGATTATTCTTACCACAAAACGTCCCAACACATTCCTTGATTCTTTTGTGGAGTCCACACTTGACTTCTTCTTTTGATCTTGTATTCAACAAAGATACAAGATTCCACGGCACATACATAATGTCTTTCACCACATCAACATACCTTATTCATATTAAACAATTTCTAACTCTCAATCATTATAATTCCATACACTATCGATCACCAAATATCTCAATCACTATAGTTCCACATACTTCATTGATCATCAAATGGCTCAATCTCCCACATATTCTCATAGATATTCTCATAGTCTAATTTAACATGCAACCCATATAATTTCATGGCTTCAAACGAAGATCAAAATCTCTTATCCTATCTTGTTTCCACAAATCAGCATGCTTGTACTCACCATTGTTCTAATCAAAACATCAAAATTCCATAATCATTCCTAACCTTAGCCTCAATACCACATTTATTAAGCAAACACATTTCCATTTCCTTATAATTACCAAATTGTCAAATGACTTTCTTAATACTTAAGCTAAAAGAAACAAACACATCTTGATCTCCACTTATCATCAAAATTCCCTGAGGACTTCTAATTTTCAATCTCAATACTTAACTTATTACACACGTTCCCATATATCTTTCAACTTTGTTACTAAATACGTGCAACTTAAATGTATGCTAGACACGCTAATGCTCAATGGACACGTGTGTGAGATCTTAACTCGTGCTCAAATACCAACTGTCACGACCCAAACCCGCCCTTAAAAGTTTAGGTCGTGACCGGCAAGTACTCAGGCCTCAGAGACAAAATTTCAAAATATTAAAATCATATCGAGGCCTAAAGCGGAAGCAAAACAAAAATAATAAATGTCCATTGAGCTATGCATACATGATAACCTAAAATAATTAAACTATTTAACTACACTTTCCATATTTACATATACAATAACAGAGCTTATATAGATCTCACACACTATATGAAAGACTTCAAACAAAGCTAGGCTTGACGAAATAACATTACGCCTCAACACGGAGGCACTTCTTGGAAGGCTTGACAGAAAGGCGGACTTCGGTACAAACTCTAATGTTGATTTTTTAATGGCTCACCTACATATATACATAAAATATAAGGGTGGGCTAATGCCCAATGAGTAATAATAAAGTAAAGAGGTTAATGAATGATGTCCTTAACATGAGGAAAACATATTTCACAAGTCTAAAACGTATCTTAAACCATGTTAAAACAAATAGTTATCGTATCAAAATCCGTGCTTTTTCAAATGGAATACATATCTGAAACCATTACAAAACATTTTACGTGGTACGTCGTACATCCACTTATACAAAGGGTCATAATCACATTTCAAAATAGGACATCCATTCATTCATATAAAATAACATTTCGTAACATGAGTCATATAGCGATGTAAAAACATTTGTATTCATATCACATTTTATGAACGACCTCAGGTCCACGTATGACAAAACGGCCTCGGGCCCAATCATATATCAAAACGACTTTGGGCCCAATCTTTAACCAAAAAAAATGAAAAAAGAAAAAAAGAACTCAAGCAGAGTCCATCAATTTGCAACAGGTGGATTTTTAGCACCAACACCTTCAGCAGTCTCCTCACTTGGCTTTTCCAAGGCCTCTTGTCGAGGGTAAGGGATGTTCTTTTTGAGCTAAGAGTCCTCTGGAACATCAGCAGCTTGAACTACAGCCATCCATCCGTCTTCAAATAGCATGTTCTCCAACTTGACGAACCATAAACGGCAGTGGCCTCATTGTAACCTTCCTCCTTCACAGCGTTGTAATAATGTTCACAGCGTTGTTTTTTCACGTCGGAGTAGGGTAGACAATTTAGTGTTTTGGGGATGTGAGAGATTTTCTACCTATAATAAGGGAGAGATTTTTTCTATGGAATAAATGAGAGATTTTCTCTATGAAATAAATGAGAGATTTTTTTCCTAAAATGGAGAGATTTTATCCATAAAATGATGGACTATTATTATTTTTTTGTTGTGTACTGGTTTCAAAATAGAAACACGCCTAAAAAGTTTATAAAGATGATTTGGTCATATTACCTTAAACAGAACCTAGTAGAATATTTTAAAAATAATTAAATTAATTAAATTAAATATAACCTTTAGAAATTAGTTATAACGACCCCAGTTTCTAAATCGATCTTTATGGTGTTTCAGACTCGGGTCTTATGGTTTAATGTTGTTGTTATGTCTCTTCTTCCTCTTACTCTTTGAATTTGAGTTTTGGGATGTCTTCGGCGTGTTCAAAACAGGTTGGTTGGTTGTTAGTCTAGAACCTTGTTGCCCAGAATTTTGGTCTTCCGCTCGAGCGGGTCCTTTTGCGCTCGAGTGGGGCTTGCAATCATTCAGTACCTTGTGCGCCTGCAAAAATGCTGCAGAAGTGTTTTTCATGCTCGAGCGGTGTTTCTTACGCTCTAGCGGGTCTGAGCTCGAGCGGCCCCTCTGGCGCTCGAGCGACTGTCTGAAATCTGTAAAATACTAGATGAGTGTATTCTATGCTCAAGCGAGTCTCATTGTGCTCAAGCGGGTAGTGCCTTGCTGTTGTGTCTTGGCGCTCGAGCGGCCTTTATTGCGTTCGAGTGGGTATAATTTTTGTATCTGATGCTCGAGCATCAAACTCTCTGCTCGAGCGAACTGTACGTATATCAAATCGCGAAAGTGACATTTTAAATCACTTTTTATGTCCTTTCTCTCTCTAAAACTTTCCAAAACCCTAAGTTGAGAGCTTCTCACTCTAAAATACTCTTTCTCTCTCTACATTTTGACCTAGATCTAGTAATCTTCTCACCCTCCTTCCTATGATAAAAAGATTGGGCTCTTCAAGATCTCAATTTTCATCTGAGTAGAAGTTGATTTCGTCATCTTTGGAGTTCATCTCTCGCTTGGCTCATCTTCTCTTCTTGAGGTAGGGATAATCTACTCACTCTTATGGGTTTTAACATAAATGTTAGTCATTTTGTATAAATGGTTGGTTTGGGTGAAGTTAGGGTTTTGAATTTGAAATAGTAAAAGAGGGGTTTTCTATTTGTGGGTTCTATGTATATGTGAGACCTTGAGAATGGAGATATTTATGCATAAATTGTGAGATTTGGACCTTGGGTCAATATTGTGGAATTTGGGAGAAAATGTCCTAGTTTTGGATTAAATAACTGTTTGTATAAATAGTGGATTCATTGTGAAATTAATGAAATTGGATTGGAAATTATGAAGTTGGGAAAAATTGTGATTAAATGGTGTAGTTGGATTAATGAATCACTCACCTATGGAAAATGTAATAAATTATCTATTGAGGAATTTATTGATCTATTTAGATATATTTGTTTTGGGCTATCGGTGGAGAATAGCCATGATTGTTGTAGAAAATGCATGATGATTAGGTAAACGGAAACTAATCAATTGGACTAAGTCAT